AATGATGAGGGCAATGAATGTACAAATGTGCTTTACACAATTGATATATGTGTGGATTGTGATAAGAGTTGTATGAGGTCCCAATAAAATGATTTTTTTAAAAAAATAAATCGAGAAAAAAATTCAGACACTCCTTAAACTAAAATATAAAATTTATGAACTAAAAAAAAAAAGACTAGCAATAATGGTTCTGCAACATGAAGAGTATAACCAATGGCACTGAATTATTCATGTAGAAGTTTTTGAATTAGCAAGTGTTTTGTTGTATATACTTTTTCCACAAGTAAAAAAAAAAAAATACATGAGGAACAATGAGTACAAGGGAAAAAATGTTCTAGAATTGATTGTGGTGCTAACTGTACATCTCTTCTTGATATGACTGAATTAATGAATGGCATGGCATGTGGATGAAGTGCCAATAAAACTGTTAAGAAAAAAATTAAAATTTCTTTCCTAAAAAAAAAAAAAGTTGTTCCTCTCCCCAAAATGCCATGTATACACATAGAACATCTCAATATTTTAGGGATATTCACTGATTCCTTGAAAACCAGAGTAAAAATTACATTTTATCTGACTATTAAAATTAAATTAAAAATCTAGTTCCTCAGTTACACTAACTACATTTCAAGTGCTCAATAGCCAAAAAAGGTCAGTGACTGTTGAACAGGACAGATCCATAACAGTTCTTTCAGTTCAGAAACATTTATTGTCTGGAGTGTTCACAAGATATAATAACTAAAAAAAGTTTATCACTTGCTCAAGTAAATTTGTTCACAACAGAATCTCTAGGATATCTCTTTTTTTAAGGGAAACTCACGGCTATAGTGTTGACTCTGATAGTAACCCAATGAGAAAGAGCCGAATTGGCCCTTTGGCCTGTAAAACTTTACCAGAGTAGAAAGCCTCATCTTTCTCCAACAGTGTAGCTAGTGTATCTGAACTACTGACCTTGTGGTTTGCAGCCCCATTCATAACCCACTACACCACCAGGACTACTCTAGTATCTAGTGTATAATTAAAAGTATTCAAAAAGAAGTACCTTCTAACTTACATCATAGTTTTGTTTGGATTATATTAATCTAGCAAAACTTCACTAAATTGGTAAAGGCCAGAACTGAAAGCTATGAATATAGTGTGAGTAGTCTGTACATACATGAAATAGTATAATTATTGAAACTTTAAAAATTCATCAAGGTTTTAAAACTTAAATATATGCCATCAGCCCAAATCAACTGCCATTGAGGCGATTCTGACTCAGCAAAACTATAAGGCTCAAGGAGAACCTTTGGGTCTCCAGACCATGATAAACCATTCTCTTTTCTTTCTCCTGCAAAATAGCTAATGAGTTTAGACGCTAACCTTGGGGTTAGCAGACTAACATGTAACCCACTACTGGACCAGGGCTCCTTGTCGATATTTTAAGAAATCTGCTTCCTTTTAACATGCCTTAAAACCAAGATAAAATTGCAGCTATAAATAGAACAGTGAAAAGTCTAATGATAATTTTGCACTTACACTGCCACATTCTTTCTGATGGTACATGCATCCAAATCGTCATCAGAGCTGCTATCAGTTGCATCAGAATCGAGTCCTTCTTCAACATGAGATAACAGCCCTGTAGCAGACAGTGCAAATCTTTGGATTTCTGCAGCTGAACATCGGGCAAAGCCATTGTTTGTATCATCCCACAATGTATTCTCTGCAGGCAGTATGTTGCCTCCTGGCTTAATTTCAGTACATTTAGGTAAATTGTTATCCAAGATTGTGGTAGGTTCATGAAAGATCTTCATTTGGGGGAGCTGATGCTTCATAGAAAAATTAATTTGCTGACCATAGTGTTTAACCACGTGCTTTGCCAGGAGCATCTGTAGATGTTTCTGAGTTCTTCTAGCCTGGCTGAGTAAAACTTTCTGTTTGCTTACACAATGGAGTAAACGAGCATTCACCTCCTCCTCTTGTTCAGCAGCTGAGGAACTAATAGGTACATCTGAGTGGCCAGGTCCAAGTTTCTTTTGAGCAAAGTGTAATAAACCCTGTTTAATCTCAGCATCAGTGACTTTATCCCAAAGTGCACTCTTTTGGTACCATTTACAGTTGTGCAATTGTACTTTATCTACATTAGTGTCTTTGGTTATACTTGAATCCAAAATAATTTGTACATCTGTCATGCACTGGCTTGTGGTATCTGACAGAGGTTCCTTTATGATGGACTCTTCTGAATGAGCATGACAGATTTTACTGAGGTGAATATTACTGCCATTACACAGTATTTTTTTCAGCTTATTACAATTGGTATCCCCCAATTTATTTTGGTTATAATTCTCATCATATTTATTTAATGTAGAATTAGAACTCATTAAAAGAACTGTCTGATAATGTTTGGAAGACTGAGGGGAGCCAAAATGTTTTAAGTTCACAAAGTTCGTATTAAGAGTAGGTTCTGGAGTTGGAAATCCCAGCATCTGAGAGAAAGTGTCTCCTTTTAGCTGTTCATCGACAGTTCTTGGATTTTCCATGCATAGCATCTTGTCAGACTCCATGGTACTTGGCAAAGATGAAAAGTAGACACGCTTTGTTGCTGCCTCCCTCAGAGCTGGGGTCATGGCGATTCCTACAGATAATTACTGGAAACCTGGAATAAGGTAAAAATAAACAATCAAGTGTCTAGAAAATAAATTTTATGTGTATACTTGTTCCAACGGCAACATTTTGATGATTCTGATTAAAACATGAATGGATCCAAACTCCTCCTTCCCTCCCATTCCAAACCAACATAATTATCTCTGCAATTTTATTGCTCACAAGAAATTCAGCAAGTACCAAACAAACTATTCCTCTCTCTGATTGGGAGCAAAATATCCACAACTGAAAATAAAGTTGCACACTTCCTAGCAAAATAAAAAGTTCAACAAACATTTGTAGGTGTGATTAAATCTCAGGATTACACATTTGCACAAGATTAAGTGAGAGTCAAAAGGTAAAGATATCCAACCCGAAATCTGGGAAACATACAGGAAAACATGATTCAACTCCGTACTCTCGGTTATAAATAAGGATTGCTAAAAAAATAAAAATAAAAAAAAGGATTACTTACCTTTATTAAATAGAAACTATTGGTCTAAATTTTCACTTTCCAAGCTAATCTTCACAAACTTAACAGTATTAATAATAATGAAAATATATTAGAGTATAAAGATCTACGTAAACGAATTACAACTAAGGATGCATTTACATAATCTCACTTATTAAAAATTATAAAAATCTGTAATATGCATACATTTTTCCTAAAATAGCATTTGCAGTAATTTTTCCCTTTCACAAATGGATAATCATCAGTTATATTTATAGAATGTGTTACTCCTGCCTGGAAAAGTGGAGAAAACTGTGCCACATTACCACTAAGGATTAACCTATAACTAAACAAAGTCCATTTGTATTTTTTAAATCACACCTATTAAAAACATTTTTATTCACTTAAGAATTAATCCAGCACCATTAAAAATCATACCAAAAAATTTTATCATACCTAAATAGTTCATGAAAAAACTGTGTACACATTTTTGAAGATATCTACTACTTTGAAACTCTTGACACAGTTATTCATAATTTGTTTCAATACTCATAAACATGATGAGTGACAGCCATTTATGTGACCCTACTCCCATAATGTAGGTACCTTGGTACTAGTTGAAACTATTCTCTTCCTATTTAAAAACAAAAATGCTCTACAGAGATTAGCAAAGAGAAACAGGCAAATCAAAGCTTCTTTGTAATAAAAAATACTATAAACAGGTATTTTTATAATATACACTATATATTTGTATCCAGAATATATAAAGACCTCCCTTAAATTGACAAAGGGAAATGTTAAAAAAGAATAAAAATAAAATAAAATAAAAAATTGACAAAGGATACAATCAGGTACATCACAGATAATGAAATCCAAATAGTCATTACATTAGAGTGAAGGAAATATAGATTAACATTGCAAGACACTATTTTTCTAACCCTCAAGTTGACAAAAGTGTTTTAAAACAAAAGTATAAATTATGATGACCTGAGGAAAAAATAAGATTTCTATCATGGATTGAACTATCTGGACCATATGAAGAAGAATGCAACATCAGGATTGGAGGAAGGCTTTTAACAACCTGCGATATAGATTTGACAAACCTTGCTTACTGAAAATGAGGAGGAATTGAAGCACTTGTGATGAAGATCAAGGATTGCAGCCTTGTGTAGGAATACTAACTCAAGGTAAAGAAGATCAAAATCCTCACAATTGGACCAATAAGTAATGATAAACAAAGGAATGATTGAAGTTGTCAAGGATATCTTTGCATGAATCCACAATCAATATGATTGAAACAGCAATAAAGAAATAAAAAGATGTATTGCATTGGGAAAATAGACAATGTTTATCACTGTCTAATACCCCAGAGGGATGACTGACAATATTGTACTTTTTTGCTTCTATGGGTTTTTGTTTTCCTGCCTTGTGTTTGTTTGCAGGTTAATTTGTTGCTGTTATATTAATTGGTCTGATAAATTGGTCAGTAAACCTAAGTCATGCATATCCCAAAGGATGCTGGGGTCCTACTTAACTCTAGCCCCAATCCAAAACTATTCGTTCTGATAACATGGTCCTGCTCAATACTCCCATGAAATGATCACTGAAGATAAAGGTGCTACGATAAAAGTGTGGCGAAGAAAGCAGATGGTACCCAGCTATCAATTGGATTAGTGTCTGAGATCTGAAAGGCTTATATTCAAATGAGCAGCCATCTAACGAGACAAGTCAACTAAATCAACATGGAAGGGACACACCAGTTTGTGTGATCCAAAGATGACAATAAAAAATTCAAATATGACTAAGGGTAAAGTATCAGAGCTAAAATTACGAACACCCACTTGGTAGAAGGCTATAGAGGGCAGTGGGAGGTCAAAACCCATCTGCAGAGTAATTAAGACACTTGCAGATCCTTACCACTAGCCACAGGAAAGGATCTCCAGTGGCCTTAATGTCAGAGATCATTGTAATCTTGATTATGCTGGATCCAACTTATCTTGATCACCTGACCTCCATATTGACCCAACCTAAATTTGTTCTAGGTACAAGTATGTCTTGCCTGTTCCATGACAAAAATTTCTTCCCTGACTTTTTAATTATTGAGGGTGGTCTTTTCTGTCTTACTCATTATTTGTATTTTTATCTTTATATTATTTTATCCTTACCACTTCTTTCAATTTTGTTTTTTCTTGTTTCTGTTAGGTTTCCCAGTTTGTGAAGCACAGGAGTGGATGCAGAGAGAGAATAACTGATGCAAGGGTTTACAGGGACATAGATAGGGCTTGGGGAGTAGCAGGCAAGAGGGGTGATGGGACTTTGGGAGTAAACAATGAAGGCATGACAGGGTAGGGAGCACTAGAACTGACTGTGATTACACAACTTATTTTAAAGACAATTTAACCATGGGGGGTAGGTTTTCTAAAATTGGGGTAATAATTGTACAATTCCTCTTGATATGATTGAATGAACTACTGAATTGTACGATATGAAGATTAGGTACCAATAAAAAAAAAGTCATAATTCTCCTTGGAAGCAAGGATGGTGAGACTTTGTCTCAGATACTTTGGACAAGTTATCAAGACACTAGTCCCAGGAGAGGACAGCATGATTGGTAAAGTGGATGTGCAGCCAAAAAAAAAAAGGAAGACAGATTGACACAGTGGCTGCAACAATGGGCTCAAATATGACAATAGTTATGAGGGTGGCTCCAGACTGGATCGGTTTAGCAATTTCACAATAGTGTCTTTTTTTTAATCGTGTTACACAATAGTGTTAAAAATACATTTGTCACAGATGCACATGGATGGAGTGCTTGTAATAGAACATTCTTTCAAAGCAAACAACTGAGTTGTCTAACAATAAGAAATAATATGAGGAATACTAGAAAACACTTTTAAAAGAATGAACTACACTGCTATGTATAAATATGAACCTAATACCCAAACCAAACCCACTGTTGACAGGTCAATTCTGACTGTCAGAACTGTGCTTCAAAGCAGAATTACACTTCACACACAGTTTTCTTGGCTGTAATCTTAGAAAGCAGATCTCCAAAACTTTCTTCCAAGCATGTCTCAAAAGGAATGTTTTTAAAAAATGCAGAATATATATAGTATGGGACCCTTAAATAAAATGCATATACTAAGTCATACATATATATACATCTGTACACACACATATATACGCATGTGTGTAGTTAATAAAAATGGGTCAGAAAAATATCCAAAATTATCAAATTCACCTAGGGTGAAAACGTAATTTCTTTAATAAATGGTTCTGGGAAAATGCATTTCCACAAACAAATGGATCTTGTTAGACCAGTATCTCATGCCAAATATAAAAACTAACAAAATTAATCAAAGAACCAAATTTAAGGTCCAAAATTATAAAACTCTTAAAAGAAAACGGGTGATATTTGGGACTAGTTTTCAACAATGAATTATTCTGAGATACATCACTGGGAATTTTTTATTAATCATCAAAGGTTTTTAGCATTGTAAACACCTGGTTTGCAGAAGGTATGGGTAACAGTGGAAACCCAAGATCCATTTGCAGGGTCCCCACGTGGATTAAGCTTCTAATGAATCCCATCTGACAATAGTCCAGGAGTGTGACTAGCCTAGCTACCCAACAGCGAGCACTGTAAAGTTGATTATGGTAGATGTGGTTATGTTAAAATGTAATACCATATCATTTGATCTCCCTTCTGACCCATTTTAAAATTGTTTCCATTTTTAATATTTTGTTTTCCTGAAGTTTTTATATATTTCATCTAATCATTGTATTTATTGTTGTTGGCTTGCTGTGTTTTTTTTAACTGTTTTATATGATTTTCTATATATGAAATTTAGGATAAATAGATCTATAGAGGCAGTACCCAGATTGGTAACTGCCTCGGAGTGTGGCAGGGGAGCGTGGGAGAAATGCAGAACTAACTACAAGTATAAGAAAATGTTCTATAATTGATTATAGTGATAATTGTAAAAATCTTAATATGACTAAATGATTCACTTATATGATATGAAAAATATATGTCAATGAAACATTTTTTTAAAGGTCTGGGAGACACATTACCTGACAAGGTAAAAAAAAATTCCTGTAACAACACAAAAGCACAAACAACTTAATTGAAAAATGGACAAAGGACTTGAACACACTTCACCAAAGAAATGCACATAGGTCAATAAACACATAAAAAGATGCTCAACCTCATTAGTCACTCTTGCTGTTGCTGGGGTTCACTGAGTCAGTCCATTAATGGCAACCCCACACACAATCAACACGAACATTGTAATCCAATGGTGTTTTCACTGATTTTTCACAAATAGATCAACTTTTTCTTAATCTAGTCTGGAAGTTCCACTAAAACCTGTTCATCATCATAAACTCACTGTCACAAGGCAATGCTGACTCATAGCAACCCTTTAAGAGAGGGCATAACTTCCCCCTATGAATTTCTTAAGACTGTACCTTTATACAGTAGGAAACCCCATCTTTCTGCCAAAGAGTGCTGTTGGTTTTGAACTGCTGACCCTGTGTATCACAGCGCAACTTGTAACAGG